GGATTGAGCACCATGGTGAACTTGTCTGCCCCTTGCTCTGTGGGCAGGTGTGCACGTCATGTCTGTGAATGCGTTTGAGTGAGTGTGTGTGTGTGGGCGTGGGTCTCCTCAGGGCCAGCTCCTCCCCTTAGACACAGAAGGCAAAACATTCAGGGCCCATGATAAATGTAGATGACCTGCAGAAATGGTGGAAGGCCTGCATGTCTAAAAATCAAGATGAGCCGGGTGCGGTGGTTCGTGCCTGTCATCCCAGCACTTGGAAGGCTGAGGTGAGAGGATTGTCTGAGCCCAGGGGTTTGAGACCAGTCTGGGCAACTTGGTGAGACTTCCTCTCTTCGATAAATTAAAAAATCAGCTGAATGTGATAGTGCACATCTGTGGTTCCAGCTATTTGGAAGGCTGAGGCGGAAGGATCCCCTGCGCCCAGCTGATTGAGGCTGCGGGGGCCATGAGTGTGCCGCTGCACTCCAGGCTGAATGACAGAGTAGGACGCCGACTCAAAAAAAAATTCATGATGGCATTGGTTTTTTTTTTTTTTTTTTTTTTTTTTTTTTAGTCTAAGTCTCACTCTGTCGCCCAGACTGGAGTGCAGTGGCCGCTTCTGGCTACCGCAGCCTCGACCTACTGGGCTCCGGCAATCCTTCCGCCTCAGCCTTCCAAGGAGCTGGAACTACAGGCGCACACTACCACGCTGGGCTAATTTTTTTTTTTTTATTTATTATAGAGATGAGGTCTCGCCTGCCCAGGCGGGTCTCGAACCCGCGGGCTCAGGCAATCTGCTCACCTCAGCCTCCCAAAGGCTCGGGATTACAGGCTGAGCCACCGAGCCCGGCTATGGCGTTGTTTTAATAACAAAGCCACAATGCTCTAGAAGCTTCACGGAATCTTCCTGGCAATCTCACGAGCTAGGCACTATTCCTGTTCTCTTTTTGCAGGTGAGGAAACAGGCTCCAGACATCACTAGCTCAAATTCACTGAGCCATAATGGAAGCCCAGGCTACCTGGTTTCTGGGTTTCTACTGGAGAGAGGGTAAATGTCCAGTGTCTGTGTGAGTGTGCCCATCTGTGTCAAATATATGTATATGTTTTTGAATCAGGGTCTGGCTCTGTTGCCCAGGTTATAGTGCAGTGACAAGATCACAGCTCACCATAGCCCTGACCTCCTGGGCTCAGGCGATCCTCCTGCCTCAGCCTCTTGAGTAGCTGGTACTACAGGTGTGGGCCACCATGCCTGGCTAATCTCTTTTTTTGTAGAGATGAGGTCTTGCTATTTTGCCCAGGCTGATCTTGTACTCCTGGGGTCAAGCGATCCTCCCACCTCGATTTCACAAATTGCTGGGATTACAGGTATGAGCCACCGTGCCCATTCCCTCAAGAATATACTGACATATACAAACTCACTTAATAATAGTTCAGGCTGGGCAAGGTGGCTCATGACTGTAATCCCAGCACTTTGGGATGTCAGGGCAGGAGGATTGCTTGAGCCCAGGAGTTCGAGACCAGCCAGGGCAACATAGTGAGAACTTGTCTCTAATAATAATAATAATAACAGTTCAAAGCACAGACTCTAAAGCCTGACACCCCGAATGCTTACTCCAGCTCTGCCACCTACTTGCTGTGTGACTCTAGACAACCAACTTCACCTCTCTGGGCCTCTGTTTCCTTGTCTGTAAAATGATAGCTCTTACCTTATAGGAGTGTGATGAGAATTAAGTGAATACATGCTCTTGAGGCTGGGCGTGGTGGCTCTCGCCTGTAATCCCAATACTTTGGGAGGCAGAGGTGAGAGCATTGCCTGAGTCCAGGGGTTTGAGACCAACCTGGTCAACTTGGTGAGACCTCATCTCTACAATAAATCAAAAAATTAGCTAGGCATGGTGGCGTGTGCCTGTAGTTCCAGCTACTTGGAAGGCTGAGGTAGAAGGAACGCCTGAGCCCAGCAGGTCGAGGCTGTGGTGGCCATGAGCAGTGTGCCTGGGCAACAGTGAGAATCCCACTCAAAAAAAAAAAAAAAGAATAATATATGCTCTTGGGAATAATTAGCTCTTGGTTTTGTGTGAAGAGTTGTCTACATGGGTGCCTCTGCAGGAGGCTTGTGTGTGTGTGTTTTGCTATCTTGATTTCTGGTGTTGTGTGTGTGTGTGTGTGTTTTGCTGTGTGTTGTGTGTGTGTGAACATGTGTGCATTTGTGGTAAAGGTCTAGGGGTCTCCATATGTTTGGGGTTCTGTCCCTGCCCCTGTCTGGCCACATGCCTGAACCCTATGTCTCCTTGTGTGTGTGTAGGGATGTGTGTCGTGTGTGTTGCTAGTCATGTGACAGTGTGTTTCCACATGCAGCTGTTGTCTGTGAAGCTGCTTCTGTGTAGCCAGGGAAGGTCTGAGTGCCCACGTGTGGCCCTGGGGACCTGTGAGCACACAGCCACGGTGGCGGCCGCGTGGATGTACGTTCCGTCTGCGTTGGCAGTGGACGCCTTTGGGCAGCCAGGGTGGGTATTTCTGTGTCTCCCATACCCTGTGGAGGCGGAGGCCAGGGGCTCGGTTGGGACAGAAGAATGAGGGGTCACTCCCTGTCTGATGCTGGGGCCAGCTGCCTACTGGTGGTTGCTGTGTCATCTCTCAGTCTCTATCCCTCCCTCTGGGCTGGTGGCAGACAGAGGGGGCGTGGGGGAATGGGTAGAGGGCGGGCTTAAGGCTGGACTTTTGTCTGGAAACCTCAACCTCCCCGTGCTGCCCCCATGTCCCTCTTGCCTTCCAGTCCCCTACCCCCTCCCTACCATGGGGACAAGAAGTCAGGACTCCCTGGGAATCAGGAACCATCACCCCTGCTCTGCCTCAGACTTGCTGCCTGACCCTGAGCCAGGCCCTCCCCTTCTCCGGGCCTGTAAGATTTAACGGCTTTTTTTTTTTTGAGTCAAAGTCTCACTCTGTCCCCCAGGCTAGAGTGCAGTGGCATGCTCACAGCCACCGCAGCCTTGACCTGCTGAGCTCAGGCGATCCTTCCGCCTCAGCCTCCCAGGTAGCTGGAACTACAGGCATGCACCACCACACCCGGTTAATTTTTTGATTTATTGTAGAGAAGAGGTCTCACTCCTGGACTCAGGCAATCCTCTCACCTCGGTCTCTCACAAAGTGCGGGATGACAGGCATGAGCCACCACGCCTGGCAAGATTTAACTGATTTAAAGTGCTTCTCTTTTTGTGCCCAAGGTGGGCCAGGCCGTGCGATGGGATGCAAGTGTTGGGGTCTCTGAGGTGTGTGAAATAGCTGGTGGCACCTTTCCCAGTGAGTGCTTAAGAGTTGGGGGCTGTGGCATCAGAAATACCCTATATGACTCTTGCACCCCTCTGACCCAACAAGTGGAAGCTACTATTATCACAACCCCCAGACAGGTTTTTCTGGGAATTTCAGTCAATCAGGTAGGTCTCAGAAATCAGGAACGACACAGAAAAAGTGGAAGCTCTGGAGTTTGACAATTCGGGTTTGAGTTTCTTGCAGTGGGAACTTGGACAAGTCATTTAACCTCTTCGAGTATCTTTTTTTTTTTTCTTTTTCTTTGATAAAATGAAAATTTTAGCCAGGCGCGGTGGCTCACAGCTATAATACCAGCATTTTGGGAGGCAAAGGTGAGAGGATTGCCTGAGTCTATAAGGGTATGAGACCAGCCTGGGCAACTTGGTGAGACCGCGTCTCTACAATAAATCAAGAAATTAGCCGGGTGTGGTGGCGCATGCCTGTAGTTCCAGTAGTTCCAACTACTTGGAAGCCTGAAGCAGAAGGATCACCTGAGCCCAGGAGGTCGAGGCTGCAGTGAACCATGATCGTGCCATTGCACTCCAGCCTGGGTGACAGAGTGAGACTCCAACTCAAAAAATAAAATAAATCAAAAAATAAGATAAAATAAAGATTTTTTTCCCCCTAACCTTCTACAACTGCTCTAAGGATTACAAATCTTGTACTGAAAGTCGTGGCACAGGAACTGGTATTTGGTAAGTGCTAAATACAAGGCATTAATTATTATTATTACAATTAATAGCAATAATCCCCCAACACACACTCATACATTCCTTATGTTTCCAGGTGGATTAAAAGCTGGAAGGAGAAGTTACCAACACCATCAGAAGGGAGGCTTCGTCCTAAGTTTTATCCCCCTTACCCTCCAAACCCACATCCTTCCCAAGTCCCGGACATGCGAGGCCCGCCAAGTCCAAATCACACAATTTTTGCCCAGCGGGAATCCTGCAGCTGAACTCCGAGAGGGAAAACACTTTCCAAGCTCGCACAGCGAGTCAGAGCAGAAGCTGGGACGAGCCTCGGGCTTCCACCCCTGCCTCCCCTTTCCCCGGAGCATCGCAGTCCCTCCGACCCCGCTCGGGACTCAGTTTCCCCGCCTACGTGACTACACCACACTAATCAGGGCGTCCTTTTAGAGATCTGCTCTTCTTCCCGAGTGGGGGTGCTGCACCAGCGGGACAATGGAGTCGGGGTGGGGCGCGCCAGAGGTAAGGGAGACCCTCAAGCAGGGATCTTCCCCGCCCGGGTCAGCGGGGGGGGCCTTCGCGGGCCAGTAAGCGCCTATTAATACCAGCCCCCGGGGCGGCGAGGCACTGCGCAGGCGCGGGCGGGTTCCGCAAGCGCGCGGGGAACGCGAGTGAACGAGCGAGGGATTCCCTCTGACGTCATTGCTAGGATACCAAACAAACACTCGGCCGCGCCGGCCGAGCTCCTTATATGGCTAATTGCGTCACAGGAACTCCGAGGAGGCGGGGCCGGGATCCCCTCCCGCCGGGCGGCCCGGAACGCAGCCCCCGAGACCCCCGAGGCCGCGAGGTTCATGCAGACGGTCGGATCGAGGCTAGGGCAGATCTCCTGCCGGACGGCGAGGGACTCCGCTTGGCGGGGCCGAAGATTTGGGGAAGTTTGTGGCGCGCTGGGCGGGTGACGTAAGCAAGGGGGGCGGGTCCCTGGAGTATAAATACAGGCTGGCGGGTCTGTGCTTCATTCATAAGACTGAGAGCTACGGCCGCAGCAGGGACACGCGGAGCCAGGACTTGGAAACTTAATTATTGTGGTTCTTCTTCTTCTTGGGGGCTGTGAAATTTGGTTTATTTTTTTTTCCGGAAAGAAAGTTTTTGGGAGGTTTCTTCTAGATATTTCTTCATCTTATTTTGGAGGACCGAGTTACTTTTCTCGTCTTCTTTGTCACTCCCCTCCCCCCGTGGGACCCGCCGGACGCGTGGAGGAGACCGCACCCGAAACTGATTCTGTACAGCGGGACGACGTTTTCCGCTTCTTGGGGAGACATACCCACTCGCTCCCGGGTTACCTACGGAACCTGGACTTTCAGGAAGGAGGCACAGCGGCATCCTGTGGGGACCTGGGCACCGCAGGGGGACTGCAAGGAAACTTTGCCAGTGTTGGAGCGGGACGCTGCCCCCTCCCCGAGCTTCCCCGGACGGCGTACTTTGAGGACGCGCTCGGCTCACCCCGGACTCCCTCGGCTCACCCCGGACTCGCACCTTACTTCCCCCACCCGGCCATAGCCTTGGCTTCCCGGCGACCTCAGCGTGGTCACAGGGCCCCCCCTGTGCCCAGGGAAATGTTTCAGGCTTTCCCCGGAGACTACGACTCCGGCTCCCGGTGCAGCTCCTCGCCCTCCGCCGAGTCTCAGTATCTGTCTTCGGTGGACTCCTTCGGCAGCCCACCCACCGCCGCCGCCTCCCAGGTGAGTTCTCGATGGCCGGGGTGCTGCTTTGTGGGTTTTATTTCTTAAGTCGAGGGTTTAGAAAGCGACACCCAACCCCCAAACAGAGGGGCGTCAAGACCCAGAACGTGAGCTGGAATAGGCTTCCAGCGCACTTTGCAAACTGCAAGAGTCGGAGCTGTTTGCAGTCGGCTGTGTGCGTGGAGCGCGGGGAGGGAGCCGGGTTAGGCTTAGGGAGGGGCGGCGGGAGGGGCAGGGCTCCCAGGCCGCTCAGTGCAACGTGTATGCGGTGGCAGGGCTGAGAACTTTCAGCCGGCCCCGGGACTGTCCCCTGCTCGGATCCCTAACCTGAAGCCGGCGCAGTTAGGCAGGTGGGGGAAGCCCCGGGGAAGATTCCAGTAGCCTCCTCCCCTTCCTTTCTCCTTCGGAGCGCCGACTTCGGTGCCGGGTCGCCCCCCGCCCATCGGGAAAACGGGCCTCGAACCCTGGGCCGCGCTGCCTCCGCCTCCAGCGCGGAGACGTAACGGGGGACCCGTGCGTAACGGCTGACGCGCTGGAATCCTCCGTCTGACGCGGGGCACGCACGGCGCGCGGCGCCCCCTTCGTCCGCCCCGCCCCTGACGTCCCGGGAGCGTTCTATTTTGGAACGCCAGGGCCACGTTGCTAAGGGAGGGGGCAGCCCGGCGTTCCGATTGGCTGCCGCAACGCGAGCTTTGGCCAATCAACTTTCTCTTCCTATTTGTAGGGCGCAGTTTCCTTCCCCCTCTCGGTCCCCGGAACCCGTGGTTCCTGAGGGTTTGGGTCTTTTTTATGGGCCTGCAGAAGCAGCGCGGGGGGACTCCTGTCGCGACGGGAGCGACTCCCTGCGGCCCAATGGGTCCGCGAGGATCTTGCGGGGATCTGGTCCCTCGGCTCTCAGAAGCCAGCGGTGTCTGTTTGTGCGCCGGCGTTTCTCCGGGAGACATGGTGGCTGTCACCCTCTCCTCCAGGCACACACACACGCAGTCCCACTCCCTGAGCTCCGGACGCCCGGTCCCTGCGGCGTGTCACAGGACGGCACTAGAACCGCTAACCGGAGGGGAGCCGGCCAGGTGGTCGCCGGGAGCCCCGCCCCCCCGGGTTCCCAGGGCGCTGATTGGCCGGCGGGCCAGCCCTTCCCTCGCCACGCCCCCCGGGCGAGTAGTTAAGCCTTCAGAGCGGTTCCAGCACGCCGTTTACGGGAGGGGGGAGATGAGCGCGGCCGGGGCCCGGGGGCTCGGGTCCCCACGAGTCCCCCCTCCGCCACAATCTGAGGGAGCCCGGGTGGCCACTTGCCTCTACCTGTCCGTTCATCCTAACCTGTCGCGGGTCAGTTTCACTCTGAGGCGAGACAGTTACTTAAATCATTGTTCTAAACTCCTAGGCCCGCCCCCCAACACCCGCTTAACTGGGACCCCCGCCCCTGCACGGGCCCCCGCACGGAGGGGGGTGTGTGTGCGTCTGACAGTAGAGGCAGGCTTGGCCTGAGGCCTCTCCTTCTCCCTCCCCTTGCCTCTGGGGTGGGGGCGGGGTGTTGTGGCTGTGTGTGTGGCTGTGGCTCCGTCTCGGGAGTTGTCACCCGGCTGTGTCCAGCCTCCTCTCCACCCCCAACACCTAAGAGTCACCAACCCGGGGTGTGATTCACCACCCGCTGGAACCATGCAACCTTTTCCCGAGGAAGAAGGAGGAGGTAGAAGCCAGTTGAGCAGAAATCCTCTCATTAACCACTGCGTCACGGTGTAGTGGAAGGGTGGGTGTTGTGGCTTTCTCCCTGTGACACACACATCCACACTGCCTCACCCCGTGCTCACTCACGGGGTCGGTGTGTGTTATGTGTGTTGGGTGTGTGTGTGTCGGTGTCTTTGTTTGTGTGTCTACGCCTGTGTGTGTATGTGTCACCCCGTAGGAGTGCGCCGGTCTCGGGGAAATGCCCGGTTCCTTCGTGCCCACGGTCACCGCGATCACAACCAGCCAGGACCTCCAGTGGCTCGTGCAACCCACCCTCATCTCTTCCATGGCCCAGTCCCAGGGGCAGCCACTGGCCTCCCAGCCCCCGGTCGTGGACCCCTATGACATGCCGGGAACCAGCTACTCCACGCCAGGCATGAGTGGCTACAGCAGTGGCGGAGCTGGGGGCAGTGGCGGGCCTTCCACCAGCGGAGCCACCAGTGGACCTGGGCCGGCTCGCCCAGCCCGAGCCCGGCCCCGGAGACCCCGAGAAGAGACGGTGAGTACGAGTCATCAGAATTGGGCCTAGGAGGAGGGCAGTGAGAGAGGCAGGGACTTTTCTTCACTAAGGGCCTGGAGGCTCATTAAGGCCTCCATGCCGCAGAAAGCCTATCCTGCTTGCTACAGTCAGCGAGGACTCGAGGGTGCTTTTGTGGCTCTTGGGGATTCTGAAAGGAGCTTAGGATGGAGGGAGGATGTGCACTGTGTTCCTGAACCTCATGGCCCCTGTCTCCCGATGCAGCTTACCCCAGAGGAAGAGGAGAAGCGAAGGGTTCGCCGGGAACGGAACAAGTTGGCCGCCGCCAAGTGTAGGAACCGACGGAGGGAGCTGACCGACCGACTCCAGGCGGTGAGGATGGTCCCTGGGGCGGGGTGAGGGGTGCTGAGGGCGCTCTCTCCGTTCTCTGTCCTCGTTCTCTGTTCCCCTCTCCACTGTGCCCTTAGCCTGGGATGAGAGCCAGAGTTTCCACGGATGGAACTAGGAAAAATTGTGGCCAGATGGGGTAGCACCGGGCACTCACACAGGCCCCCACACACTTTTGTTATGTCCTGGCCACCCCCTTCCTGACAGGTGACCCCATGCACCACTGTCCTGGCCTTCCCTTCATCCTGAGGGGACAGATGGTGACCTTTGGGAAAGGGGAGCACAGTCATTTTCCCATTTGGTCTTGGGCAGGCAAGCAGCCACCCATTTTTGCCTCAGTTTCTCCAACTCTTCAAACCCTCATCAAATCTTCCAGGCTCCTTCTACCTTTAACATTTTGGAGAGTCTGTGAAATGGAATTATTTTATATCCTATGTCAACTTCCCACCTCCTGCCCCAGCCACCCACGATTCTCCAGAACTTGGGCTGGTGGTATCCACCAAGGCTCATTCCCTTCCTGCACCCCACTTTGGTCTGGAAGTCCCTGCTTTATCCTGCAGGGTGACGTCACTCCTTGAGGAAACCAGGAGAATTCTCTATTTTCCTTCTCTGTTTGGTCCCTTCCCGGGGAGAGGTGTGGATGTGTGTGTGTGGTGGGGGGGTAACAGAAGAAAATGCATTTTTAAAAAACACATAACAATCATTCATTCATTCAACAAACCTCTGTTGAGTGCCTCCTGCACACTAGAGACTCTCATGTGCACTCAGCCCCTTCCCTACTATCCTTTGGACAGATGGGGAAACTGAGGCTCCTAGGAGGCAAGATTCTTGCCCCAGCTACCAGGACTCTATCTCAGTGGTGTTCCCTCTTGGTGGGAACTGCCTTCCAGGCAGCAAGGCAGGAGGGAAGCCATGACCCACCTATTTTTTTTTTTTATTTTTTTTGGTCGGGTCTCACTCTGTTCCTCAGGCTGGAGTGCAGTGGCAGGATCACAGCTCACCCCAGCCTCGACCTCCTGGCTCAGGCACTCCTCCTGCCTCAGCTTCCCGAGTAGCTGGGACTACAGGTGCACACCATCACACCTGACTAACTTTTAAAATTTTTTATAGAAATGAGGTTTCTCTATGTTGCCCAGGCTGGTCTCGAACTCCTGGGCTCAGGTGACCCACCCCAGCCTCCCCAATAACTGGGACTACAGGCATGCACCACCATGCCCAGCTAATTTATTTGTTTTTTTAATACAGAGAGACGAGGTCTCACTATGTTGCCCAGGTTGGCCTCGAACTCCTGGCCTCAAGCAAAATCCTCCCCACGTTGCCTAGGCTGGCCTCGAACTCCCGGCCTGAGCCGGCCTCCCCACGTTGCCTAGGCTGGCCTCGAACGCCCTGCCTGAGCCGGCCTCCCCACGTTGCCCAGACTGGCCTCGAACGCCCGGCCTGAGCCGGCCTCCCCACGATGCCCAGGCTGGCTCGAACGCCCGGCCTGAGCCGGCCTCCCCATGTTGCCCAGGCTGGCCTCGAACGCCCGGCCTGAGCCGGCCTCCCCACGTTGCCTAGACTGGCCTCGAACGCCCGGCCTGAGCC